AACCACAATATCGACAAGTGATTAATAAAAGTCAAAAGACCAAAGAGGTCACCTTAATACCAAAAAAAAAAAAATAATAAATACATGATACGTATTGCATTATTAGCTTTGCAATAATAAAATATATATAATATTGCATTATTAGCTTTGCAATAATATAATTTATTATTTAAGTTTTTATTTAAAAAAGAATATAAATAGCAAAATATAAAATATAAAACAGTATTTTTATTTAAAAATATTTTATACTAATAAATTTTATTATAAATACAAAAAATTAATTATTTGTATTACAATATCTGAAATTTTTTAACAAATATTTAAATATTAAAAAAAATTAAACAAATATAGTCAAACCTTTCTACGTATAATTACATTATTAAAACCATAATAACTTTCTTTCAAAAATATATTTATATAAAGACCTTTTTAATATGTTTGTAGTAATTTAAAATAAAATAATTTTATATAATGCACTTACAAAGAGTGTAATTATAAAAGGTCTAACAGTATTTGAATACCTTTTGATATTGTCTACACTTGTTTATATATAGTATATATCACCAAATAATGAAGTTCATTTGTTCACAGAAAACGTTGAATTTATTGAAATTCAACTTTATTACACACGTGAATTGTGTGAAGCAAACGGCCATTAAATATTATCATCGGGAGACAAATCTTCCTCATTTACTTCAACCACCAATGTAGGAAATGAATATAATGATTCAACCTGAGCTTCCTTTGTAATTTGACTCAGTTTAGTTAGTAAATTAGGTGAATCAAATAAAGTATAAGGTAATGATGGACATGAAGAAGGGAAATGCTAACGACAAAAGTACTTTAGTATATAATTTTCAGAGTTTTCGTTCTATCTTGCAAATTCTAAATAAATCTACCTTCTCATCTTGAAAACTGTTATGTGCTTTCAAAAGTGCACTGCATAAAACAAATCGTACCATAAATTGGCGAAGGAAATCGTCTTGTAAAAATCGTTTCAACGATTTTTCTGTAGGTCAATGAATGCAAAATGGTAGTTAATATAGATAAACAAATAAGAAAAATAAAAAACTGTATTTTACCCAAGTTAGAGAGATTTAACAGTTCAACAATGATAGCTTCTGTCTCAGCTATAAGATTCACACATCTTTCCCACTTTTCAGAGTCTATACTTTCGATATTAGAGATAAACGAAAACCCAAGAAGAGGTGCGTGAAGGAATAGTGTGAAAAGGCTGCCTATCTTAGGTGTATCTAATTATTGGAAAAAATATATTAATGAAGACAAAAAATTTTATCTATTCGATAGTAAACCTTTATCGACATTACCAGGAATGGACAATGGATATTCAACAGGAGACATGAGACAAAGAAATGGTTGGTTGAAGACCTTAGGAAAATTCTTGTAATCAATTAACAAAATCAAAAAGGTTATTATACACGCAATAAACTTGCAAAGTTGGCAAGGTGGAAACAAGAAAAAAGTCATACCGCAAAAGCCGTACTATTATTACTATCAACTATAATACACAATGGTTTCCGAGTAAATGGTACCAAGTCATTTGGATGTAAACAATTAATTAATCCACTATCAGATCCGTCGGCTTTGTCGGCAGGTTTACGAGAATTTGTTGCAACACCACCCATATATCCTGCATTTAACAAATTATTCAACTTCTTAATGCGTAGTGACAAAAAAATCACCTAAGCATAAGAATTACTTTATTTCTCTAACCATTGGATAAATTATGTTCACTGTTAATATTTGCGTGTTTAGTGCCGTCCGCCGAAAGATATAGTAATAAGGCGGAATTTTCATTAATTTCCTGCATATTATTAGCTGCGATAAGTAATAAATAATGTAAGAAGTGTAGTACGTCTCAATAAGAATAGTACCTTGAATGCTGTGGAGATATAAACCATTAGTTGACTGAAAGTAGGTCTATGCAACAAATATTTATGAGGGTTTATTCTTCGTGATGCAGATTTATCCGCTGGTGTATTTATATTTGATTGTTCATCAGTCGATGTATCATCTTTATTTAATATCCTTTCATTACCCACAGAATTTTCAACACCTGGTGTTTTGGGCGGTGCACCCTTCGGAGGAGCTGGCTCGCGTTCTAAAGAATAAGTGATAACGCATGTTTAGCATTTATTATCAAGGAACTAGAAACATTTAAAACAATATTGATATAATACCAAGAGATTGCAGTATATGATACATGTCGAGAGTGAGTTCCGAGAACTTTGTTTGATTCTGATAATTTCCCACTAAAATTGCTTCTTGAAGTTTTAATCTAGGTGTCCCATCTTTTTCAAGTCTAGGGCTCCTTTCTATTTGAAGACGACGCGCGATGGGTAAGAAATCACCTTCAGGGGAAAGGGGCGTGAGCTTCTTTTCAGCCTAAGTAGCCAATTTGACATGAATAACTGTTATTAATTTCATTCAAAGAGTTTATAATTCAATACCTCCAAAAACGCGTCAATTTCTGTAAGAACTTGATTCCATTCCGCCGAATCAATTGGTTTAAAGATTCTTATATAGTCATCGACAAGGCCGCTTAATTCATCTAACAATTTTTGCACGATATCCCTTTTGTTTAACAGCAGGCACACAACGATAAACCGGGCGTAATATCTTAATTTTTTGATCATTAGTGCAGGGCTACAAAATAAAATGGTAGATACTATTAAACAACGTTTTAAAATAAACGATATTAACGTTATTATAGATTTCAACAAACTTTTTAACGTCAAGGACGTCTTTGAAATAGGAACGTTCACGAATAGCTTCATAGAATATATATGATTCGTGAAGATAATTCGTTTCACTCGTACGCAAACTTCGGTTTCACACAGAAATTTCGTGTTAAATTTTAGTATTAATATAATTTAAGTAAAAATTGGACGTAAAAAACGTACTAGTAGTGGTAATAAAGTTGACCAATCTTTGATGCAATTTCACCAACCTCCCATCGCTTAAGACCATAGTTATTTTTATTTTCTAACACAAATCTAAGATTGAACGCGTTAATAGATTTTCATATGCGAATTAATATTAAACAAAAAACCTTTAATGAGGAATAATAAATTGCCACCTATTCTGTTGCTGGAACTTCCATAACTGAATATCCGTAAATACGCGTTTAGTTGTATAAAAATAAAATTAAATTAAATTAAAAATAAAAGAATAAAATAGAACAAAAGGGAACATATATTTAATCGAATCATATACCTTGGTATAAACTTCAAAAGTTCGTTGGAAATATGGTTGCCACTGGCGACCACCAGTTGGTGGAAGATCCCTGTATATATCTTGAGATTTCATTCAAAATATAATAAAGAAGACTCTTTTCCAAGGCCTTTCTTACCTTAAGCCTGCGAATAATTGTTGACTTTTCTCCAGTAGGTACTGAAATTCTTCAACGATCCTTTGATCATTCACCTCATTCACAGCAACTGCTGAATCCGTTATTACCTTATTATCTTTTTCATTAGTGGCTTCTTCCATGACAACATCGTGGGCAGTTGGTTGCGCAGCTGCCGTAGGAGTAAATATAGGTTGAGATTCTCTTGCGTTAAATTTTTCTTCCTCCATTTTTAACCACTGAACATTTCTTGCAGTTTGTGAAGCACTAATTTCTTCGCGTACATAATGGAGTTTAAATCATATTTACATATTAATCTTTGCCATTACACATGTAATACTTTCACGTGATTAGTACGCTTTAATAGTCAAAAATCTAATCTCTTTAGAAAGTTGTGCTAGCATGAATCAGGTTCAAGATTTCATTGGCTAATTAATATCTTATATGTCTTTGTTTTTTTCGGAATAAGAGGATTTGCTACGTAGTTGTTACTCCAGGGGAGACCGTCCCAAATTAGGAAATAATTATCCGAGTCATACGATTTTTTTTTTATACGTTTTACAATACTCTATTAAAAAGCCCGGGCCAATCAAATTTGCGATTTTTAGAAAAAAAAGTTTTTTTTACGTTTTACAAGGGGCTTCGGGTAACAATTCTAACTAAGATACGTGACTAACGACTAAGTAGACTTGAAGCTTTCGCTCTATATTTTAATAATATCAACTGAATCCACCTGAATCCACCGACTTTTATATTACGATTTACTTAACAAAAATATGTCTGAGACTAAGGAATGTATGGAATATGGAGCCACTGAAACATCTAGATTTCGTTCGTTAACAGGAAATAAGTGGAAAGAAGCTGAAGCTTACGATTTGCTAAAAGTAACTTGGAAAAAAAATAACTACTTATGTCATTCTTGCTACATGAATTGTGTAGAAAATCAACTAAGAAGATTAAAAAGAGAAGCAAAATAGCCAAAAGTCTCGGTTGAAGAAGCAGTAACCAATGTAGATATAGCTGAAGATGACAATGTAATTGAAGTAAATATAGACAACATAATTAAAGAAGAAATAGAAAATAAAATTAAAGAAGGTGTAGAATTAAGGGATGTAGAAACTATAATAAGAGAGGATATAGAGGCTGTAGACGAAAAGGAGGTAAGTATGATTAACCTTGTTGAAGTTGTTAGATCTATGACATGAATTTTTTATGAGAAAGAACATACACAGAAAGAAGGCCCTATATATTTGTTTGATAAAATGCAAGAATTATTCTCACAAATCGACCCAAGCTTGAAGAACTTCTTCGATCAACTTTATTTATTAGCTTGGCCATTTGAACATTATGAGCAAACAATATGGCGTATGAAAAGATTAATGGTTTTTTTATGTTATCTTCTTGCATCATTAAATAATTCAAAAATTAATTCTTTTAAATTCAACTTAGCATATTATTTAGATTCTGTTGGTACAAGCAACGAGGGTCTGAATATGTTGGCTAATATTGGTATAATTACAACTGCAAGAGCAGTAGATCATAAAAAGAAAAAAATTTCAGAAACCCATAAAGAATATGTAGAGAAGGCCCTTAAGAATTGTTCTGAAAATTCTTTTGTATTGAATATTGATGATTATCATAATATTCATACTTCACAGCAACAACCTGACACTACTGATATGTCTTGGGCAGCATACATGGCAACAATCATAATAAATCTGTGTCTCATACTAGCTATACTACGTAACAGGGCACTCAATCCAAAAATCGTTGATGATGAGCTAATTATGAAACATCTCGATAAATGATTTATAGCCAACCTTGGAATTTCTTATCATGATCTTGTAAAAGGTAAAGGTTCTAATGATAATCTTATAGAAAAACTAACATTGCATAGTTATGATGACAGGTTGGCAGAAAAAAAAAGCGATAGACATATACAGAATGCTATCCTTTTTGATTTTGTTGAAAGTAACTTGAAGAGTGTTGAAAATTATACAAAAGCTCTTCAAATCATGCATGATCAAGAACCGATAGGAGAGTATCTTTCTAATCATGTAATACTGATCATTGCAGATTGGCCTGGGCAGTTCTTTATCTGCAAAGCTATTGTACACTGGATTCTTCTCAACAACAAAGTTATTCTTCGATTTGTTACAGCATTTTTGCCTATGATGGAGCTTCTTCACATTTCATTGAATAGTCATGAACTTGTTTTTGACAAATATTCACTTTTGTTCAATGACATTTATAAAGATATTTTTGGAGAAAATAAGGTTCTCAGTAAGACACCACAGCCATGGCAGATTGATTTGATTCTTTATATTATGCGCATGGCCTGGCTTGATATAGTTGATTTTGTTTATTTAAAATTTGGGAATGCTTGTAAAAATATTGAATTTTTATATTTAACCGATCTTTTGAGTAATTTAATCCCTTTAGTTCTCGACGTCTATGCGGTGCATCATTGTGAAGGTAACTGGCCGGCTTACAAAGAGGCTTGTATGTGCTGCTGGAGCGATCTTTTTCTTCGTTTTGGTTGAAAAAATTACAAACATGCACCTTTAATGTTTTTTTCAGATATTTTTTTTTGGATGGATACTAATTACTCATTGATGGATATGATTACTAATCAACTCACCTCTTTAAGCGATTGTCCTGTAGAGCTTGTTCACAATATTATTCGATGACGTATAGCGAAGTTTTTTGAGACAGAGCAATTGCAGAAAGAGGCTCGTTTTATTTTTCAGCACCGTGAAGATAATGCTTTTAGAAAATATTTTGTTGATTCTGTCAAGTATCTATATATACCCAAGCAATTGCACATACTTTCTCAAAAATGTGCTGTATTACTTTTAGGCTTATTTAAGAAGATATATCAAACCTGCTATTGGTATTCTCTAATTATTAATTCATCTAACAATATTAATACGTATAAGTTGTATTCTTTAGGCTATGAAATAATGGATTGTCACCTTCCAAGAGGTTTTGTTACCTCTAGAAAACCCTTTACAACCACTTTATGCGACTACTTGAATTGTAATTATATTGATTATTCGGATTGTAGTAAAGTTCTTGCTTGTAGGCACGGTTACCATAATCAATGCTTAGAGAAGTGTCAATTTAAATGTTTAATATGTTTGGATTATCTTAAGAATGAAATTAAAAAAAATGTTAATGCACTAAAGGTAAGTTTGATAAAAAAATTAGGCAATAATGAGTTTATTGATGAGAGAAGAGAAAATATCATTGAGGATAATATAGATAATGTCGAAATAGCAGTGGGTGATACAACAATAAAGGAATTAGAATTTGCGAAAAAATCATTTCTTGAATTGTAAAATATATAATTTTTTTTTATTTAATAAATTAATAAATTATGCCTTTAATTATAATAATTAATAATGATTAATTGATTGATCAAATTGTTAACTAATAACGACATAATAATATATGGCACAGCTAATTAGTGCAGGATGTATAAAAAAAAAAGTTGCGTCAATATTTTCAAGATTATTAGTGATGATCGAAGTTAATAATATTAATAATGCATTATTAATTTTTTCATTATTAACTAAAAACTCAAGAGGTCCCATCACTAATCGGAAACTAATAATATTAATTTAAATATTATCATTATGCCTTTAATTATTTAATAATTCAAAAATTTATTAATTTGATCAATCGGAACTAATAGTATTATAAAACATATAAAAAAAAAATTTTATCATTTGTGTAATGGCCGGGTGACTCAGGTAATCATTTTCTAATTTGAGACAGTCTTCCCTGGAAGTTGTTACTAGGAATATTAAATGATCTGTCCGAACTGATCCGACTCCAGAAGTTGAGTCAGTACCAGACTTCAGACTTAAGTTTTAATCACGTAAAGTTGTACAAGATTAACTCTAATAATAAAAGATATAGATTTTTTATTTTATTTTATTTATCTATTCAATTTTTTGTCTTTGTAGAAAAAAAATATTTTTACATTATATTCTATTCTATAGTTTCTGATTCTAACCAGCTTTTCAAGCATAATGAAGCTCTTACTGTTTGATCAAGAAGACAATTTCTGGTAAGGTCAATAGTATTTTTTGCAATAGAGAAAGTTTTCTTACAAGAAACACTAGTAACTTGAAGAGCAAAATAATCTGCTATCACATGTGTCATAGTAGGAAAATAAGAAGTGTTAATTTTCCACCACAGAAATGGATCTACACCATTCTCACAAGGTAAAGAAAGATATATAGAGAGCTCATTTGCTTCTTTTACTTCATTATTTCTATCTTCACTCATATGCATAAGATTTTTAAAAACATCTAGGAAATCTTTTAATTTAAAAGATATTGTTGAGTTATTTGATACTAACCTATTATTATTATATAACAAATAAGTATCTTTTAATTGGTCAATAAATAATTCATGATCAGTATCATAGAAGGTTTCAAACTTCGTCAACAGATCAAAAAGTGTGAGAATAGTTGAAAATTGAGAAAGATAAGTCCAATAATTATTTAATTTATTTTTCATTCTTTTGACCATTTCTTAATATGTATTATTCATAATATAGTTATTAAGATGTGAGAAGAGATCTTGGATGATGATTCATAGAGAGCTATAAGAAGGTTGTAAGGTGCTTGACAAAACTAAAATCACCTTATAAAAAGGTTTAAGAAATTGTACCATTTCTTTTATAACTTTCTAATTATTAAATTTTAAATAATCATTTTTTATATCTGGATGAGATTGAACAAGGTCATCAGTAATAGATTGAATTTTAACAAGTCATTTAAGTATCAAGTAGGTGAAGTTCCACCTTATGTTTACATTAATTTCAGGATGAAAGAATGGTCTTTTTAAGATAACTGAAATTCTTTTTATTTCTCCTAGAAGTAATAGTGATTTTTTTAATTTATTACAGAAACAACAAGCTTTTTTAATTTGGTCAAGGTAATTTTTTTGGCTTTTCTTGACTACAAGATTAATAATATGTGCCATGTAACAAATATACATAAAGTTGAAGCTTATGAATTTTTTAAAATAATTTAAGTATGTCATATTATTAGATGCGTTATCACCAATAAAGGCAATTACTTTGTCTTTTATTTCAAAATCGTTAAGGAGTTCAAGAACATTTTCACCAAGATATTCTTCACTATAGGCATCATGTAATAGAATAAAATCAAAAAGAAGAGTCTTTAATATTCATTCATTATTAACCCAATGGATGGTAATACTGAGAAACATTTGTTGATTATATACAGTCCAGACATCAAGAGTAAGTGCCAATTTACTTTTGTTTGCTTTTAAAATTTCTTTTACTTTTAACCTTTCCAAATCAAAATATTTTTTTATATATAAAGAAAGCATTTGATAATAGGGCAACTCATAATATGAATCAAGGTTATTAACTAATTTGACAAATGAGTTTGCTTCGACTATTGAAAAAGGTTGTTGTTTAATAATAATCTATTTTAATAGATCATTATTTAAAGACTCTATACAATTTTTTTCAGTAAGTATAGTAGTTAAATAAAAAGAAAGTCAGTTACTTGAGTTTTTTTGAAGACCTTTAAAGATGAGTGAATGTTTTTTTTGAAAGTGATATTTTACAATTGAAATTGATGTTCCTTCAGCCTATTTATTTTTGCATATTTTGCAAATTTTAAAGACTTCATCACTAAGTTTATCACTTAATTCATCAATATATTCACAAACTGGATTAAGCTTTTTTCTAATTCTTAAGCGTTTTTCTTTAGAGTGACCAATTTTGGCAAAATGCTCATAACAATTATGTTTATTAGAATTTTTAGTACTTAAATTGATAGGACCTTCGAGATTTATATAATTTTCAGTATTGTCAAAATTTGTTACTTGAAAGAAATGTTGATTATCTTTAGAAGAAGATTCAGTAGAGGAATCAGTAATCAAGTAGGGCATTGTGGACATAATTTAGAATGTAATATTTATTTGAGAACAAGTAAATTGATGAATGAGAGAAGGAAGGTAAAAGAGACTTTATATAACTTCTATAATTTATATAATTATTATTTTTTATTGTTTTTTTTTTATCTTCTTACATGATTTTAGATATTTATCATTGTTTGAACAATGAATTTCTAAAATCATTTAAATCTAGATGCTCTTTTGACAATATCAGGATATTTAAGATATGAAAGCAATAATAATAAGTTTGATTATTAACAAGAATTATCAGATTTTAATAGTATCTAAAATAGTATTAGCGATATCACAATGATCGAAATTGGTTTATTTTTATTCTATAGAATTATAGAATTAAAAGAAAACAATTTGGTCAGATTTGGTTATGCAATTATTGTAATATCGCTAATACTATTTTAGATACTACTAAAAAATCTGGTATCTCTAAACTAATCCAAAAAAAAGCAGTCGTGAAGTTTTGAAAAACTCTGATTAAACTGTAATAAAAATAAATAGTCTAATCAGAGTTTTTCAAAACTTCGTGATCACTCTTTTTGAATTAATTTAATAAGCAAACTTATTATTAAAGTTTGACAGGCATGAATATTTACTTATACCTTGCATATATTATTACAATATAATCATAGTTCCACTATGAAATTACTCTTTTTAAATTAATTGGCAGCAAATTTATTATTAGAATTCTTGTTATCATGGCATGATCATGGTTCCACTATAAAATTGCTCTTTTAAAATTAATTGATAAGTTTAATCTGATTTTAACAATATGAACATATTTTCGTTGAAACTTTGTTATTGCTTCATTATTATAATTACCAAATTTTATATATTTATGTGAATTTAAATAACACAACAGATCATATAAAACCATTGTTACTATTATTTTTTTATTAGCTTATTAAAACTAAAAAGAAAACTCTATTTTATATCAAACCTAATTTGCATTATTGTTTGATTTTATTCTAACCCTAATTATTAGTTGCGCATAGATAAGAGTAGTAGTTCTTCTAATAAATTGTAATCAATTGCATAGCATGTAATAATGCATGCAATATTTGTTATTAATGTTTGAAAATTAATATTACATCTATTGATATGCATATTACTCTTAATTTGGTAAATATTATATGATTTGAAGTTGACTCAGAGTCGACTTTAAATGACTAGACTCTAACCAACTTAAAAACTAACTAAACTGAGCTGATTAACTTCTCTAGTTGTTACTTAATTCCCCAAACCGAAACTAGTATTTTTATGAACTGAACTGAACTTTAGATCAAGTTTAAATTTAGTCCAAAATTGAACTTTTTTAAAAGAAAGTTTAGGTTTAGTTCAAAGTTTATGAACTATAGATGCAGACTTATAACATTATTTAGTTATATTTTATACAGTACTGGACAGCAAAAAACATTCAATTTTTTTTAAATTTTAAGATTACATAAGCAATTATGATTAGTTAATTTCTATTAAATGCCAAAATTTGATTTAGGCTGTTCTCAAGCATCTCTCTCAATGTGATCACATAGTGATCAAGATGATGCACAAGCACTATGATCAATTTAAATAATGATTGCGATCAGTGCTTGAGCAATTTTTATTACATTATCACTATCAATGTCTTTGAAAAAGAAAAAATCAATTATCTATTCAATTGCTAAAATATCAGCCTCTAGAGTGTTAGCTTCTAAGCCTTTGATTTCTAAACTTTCAGCTTCCAAACCCTTAGTTTCTGAAGCTTTGATGCCAGCTATTCATAATACTTCTTTTATCAATTTTACAAATAATTTGATATCACAGCAATAGCAGTTTCCTACTACTCAAGTTTATATAAATTTCTTAGATAAAATGGTACTAAAATGCACTAAAAATACTAAAAATATAATTACCTTTAATTTAAATATAATTAATTGTAAAAAAAAATTTTTTTTAATATATTGTTCTTATAGTTTTCTTTTATTAATCATCATGGTCAAAAAAATTCATCATTCTTTGATTCTATATCTGTTAATCCTATTTCAGCTGTTACTTATGATTTATTACTTACTAATGTTAATTCTAATACATCTTTTAGCAAATCGACAAACTGATGGACTTTATCAAAAACTTGAATACTTATTCATAAAGAAGGAAAGCATTAATAAATGTTACAATATGTTAAGGATCTCAGAAAGAAAGGTCAAATCTGAGATATGATTGTTTTTAATATTCAAACTTCTAATATTACAAGTTTAGTTTTAAGAAAATGTACAAAAACTTTAATTCAACAAAAATAGAATGTACTTATGCAGAAATATTATAACATTAAAGATAAAATTGCAAGCATCAGCAAAGAAGCTATTCAAAATAATTAGGAGTTTTTCAATGATATGGATGAGTATCTAAAAAAAGATCCAAGTGTTACTGCTTCTATTACAAGTGATTTGATTTATGAAATTAAACATAAAGTTCAAACAAATAATAATTAAGATAAAGCTGGGATAAAAATTATTTATTTATTATTGATTTAATTTTATTTTTATTTTATTTTTATTTTAGCTAATTTATAATTTTATAGAATAATAATAGAAAACAAAGAAATACATGTCTTGAGGAAGAAAAGTTAAATATGAAAGAACTTTGATCTTTTATTAAAGAACAAATAGAAGCAATGATGAAACTTATAAAAAATTAATATATACATGTATCTGAAACTCAACAAAATTAGTATGACGAATTAATGAATATTTTCAGACAATTGTTATTTAAATTTTAATTTACAATAATATATTTGCCAACAATATGCTTGCAAATAATGTATTTGTAAAGAATTACAATTTTAATATTAATAAATTAGGAGTTAGGCTTCATAGCTTAATTGTTAAGCTGTCAGATTTCCACAAACAAGATCAATGGTTCGAGTTGGGCTGAAGGCAAAATTTTAGGATTTTAATTCTGTAATCTAATATAGGAGCCAAATTAGATGTGAAGCCTTGTAGTAAATCCCAAGATGAAGTACAAGAATGAATTAGAAATTTCTGAAAGGAGATCAACTCTGCAAATAAAAGGCATTATATATGATAGTGATATTACAGAAGGTTCTACTACTAAAAAAGTATTGCACAAATAAGTTCTATCGAGATGAGGCAGTACTAACATCTCTGTACTCAACTTGCAGAGTACTTGATTGGAAGAGTAATACTAATGTAGTTAAAACTGAAATAGTGAGTGAAGCAGTGCATACAAAGAAGATTGGTGATAAAGAATTGGTCTAATCAAAATTGGAACATCTTAGGCAGGTATTATAAACCTTTAAAAAGCAAGACAATAGTCATACATTACAACATTATTGATAGTTACTATACTTGTATATAATAAGTCAAGATTTTAGATCTCCTTGCAATATCAAATTGGAAGTACAATAGTGCAACAACTATGTAAGTATACAAAAAAGAGTATGTGGTAGTTGCAGATAATAATCCAGAATCTTGATAAATTCAGTTGTACTGATCAGTACCAATATATAAAGAGCTGTATATACTAAATTGATAGCAAGAAGAACAAGAAACTGCCAGAGTCAACCAATTTAAGAGAAGAGATAGGTTATTGCAAGAAGTAGATAGGGGGATTATTATCAAATAAAATTAGGGAATATAGTATTACAAGGTGGCTACAACCTTATCTTAATTAGTAACAATAATTAAAACATTATAGTACTAGTCTTAATTTGGAAAAGTGTAGATATAATATCATGTTGAATGTCTATATAGTAATATAGTAACACAAATAAAATGTAATAACTCTAATATATTAATTCAGTATTAATTTAATAAAGTATTATGATTGGCATTATAAAAATAAAAATAAAAAATATTAATAAATTTATTGATTTATAAGATCTGTTAAATATTTTCTTTTTCAAATATCTGCTGTTTCTTCTCTTGTTTTATCTACTACTAGTACAGATTCATTGTCACTATTTGTGCTATTATCTAACTCATCATCTTCTAAAGAATATAAATCACCTATGTCAATACAGAAGTTGTATAATATACAATATGCATATATTATTCTAATGATTTATTTCATCTTAGTGCAATATATTTCTTTTAATAAAATTCACCATCAACCTTTCAAACATTCAAATGCACATTCAACAACTATTCACATTAACAAAAGAGCTTTGTTAAACTGTCTTTCTCAATGTATTAAAGTGTAATAATTAGTGTATGCTTTCATTAAGAAGTTCGAAGAATGTATGCTGCATTAGCAATAATATAAGTACTACCTGGTACCTATTATTTAGGATTCAAAGAAATTTTATGATAAAGAGATGATTTATAAAATACATGAGCATTATATATACTTTCTAAAATATAATTAGTAATAAATTTATTAAAAATAAAATAAAACTTTTTACTAACCTGCTTCTTCAGCATATATATATATAAAACATTCTTTGTAGTTAACAACTATAAGAAGGTTAATAGAATGAAAATTTTTACAATTAACATAACATGTACCATTTTCTAAAAGTGGGTGAATATGTATATGAGACCTATTCATTATGCCAATACAATTAGGTAGTTTTTAATTTTTAAATCCATTTTTTTCATGTTCAAATCCTTGCATTACTGTTACTATTTGTAATTCTTGTGGCCATGAAATTTGGTCTTTCTTCAAATCTAATAACATCTTAAAAATCTATCTGTAAAAAGGCTTACAGACCTCTGACTTATTTCAAATATTTGTTCTAACACTTGTATTTCTATTCCATTTGCTGGTTGCCATAGTACAATTGCAATTTGTTTTTACACAGGTGTTGTATTAAGTGCATTTGAAATAAAAACTGAATATGTCTCTAAATAAGTTATAATAATATAAAAAGTAATAAGATTAATGCAAAAATAATGCCAAAATGAATTGTAACATTCTTTATTCACCAAATAAGAAAAAACTTCAGTCCAAAATCTTTCTGTTTTAGGTTTTTTTTAGTGTTGTGTTCTTGTGTTAGATGAAGAAAGAATAAATAGAATAGTTAAGCTTATTATAACATAATTTAAAGCTAAAAAATAGTTATTTATTTGTTGTATTTGAATATATGAATGTTTTTGATTTGTTATAAAAAATTTAAGTATAAAGAGTATTGTAATAATTCTTTGTATCGATGATATGCTTGTTGAAGATCTATACTATAAAAGTGAAAAAATGTGCTTGAGTTATCTTCCTGGTTACTTTATCAATAGTAATTTTTAACCAATCAGCACAACTCTGTAAAAAAAAAGATAAATGTTAGGTTCAGGTTTTTTTGATTTAAATTATTAATCACAATTTATTTTTTAGCCAATCAAATCATTTAATTAATTATTAAGGAAGGTGCTTAAGAACAACCTTATGTAGTTCAATTATATGATATAATATGAAATCCTCTTCCCTAATTGCTAAATAACCAATTACAACTTAAACATATAGTTTTGCACTGATTTTAAGCATTGTTCATAGATTTTTCATTAATTATTGTCATGAATTATGATGAGATAGTGAAATTAAGAACTCTTATTGTTTAGGAATAAAGTAATCTGCAAAATTTAGCCAATAGGATTTTTTAATCTTACTATCATCTGAATTTTACTATAATCTATGATATTTATTATCTATTATATCTTGCTTATTTCTTAAATAATACTTAGGATATAACTATATTATTATTTTATCTCCAACTATAGTAGACAGTTTCTTTTACAGTACCTATGACTACTATTTAATCTGAAAAATTAACAATTGAATACATATATAATTTATATTTTGAATTAGTTTTAGATAGTTATAAAATTTGTATTTCACAAATACAATAACATAAATTTTTACTAATCAAAGCTATTTTGAATATACCACTAATAAAAAGTATTATTTCACTTATTCATAAAAAATATACAATATGCACTGCTAAACAGTAATGTTTTACAAAAAATTACTAAAAATTAATTTGATTTTTTATTAAAAATCAATGATATTTTTAAAAAATTATACTATATATTTATAGAATGTGTAAGTCAAATACATATTAATAATATTTTTTTTTAAAAAAAAAATTATAGAACCTACAAAACAGATAAGTAATCTTTTTTTTATTTTAAAAATTCATTAACCTGATTAATAATTTTTTCATTAATCATTCTGTATTTTTTACTTTTTCTAATAATATATTTAATCATTTTTTCTGTTAATCTGTATTGGTAAGCATCCATTCACCTATATGAAAGCCTAACAAAGGAATGAATTTGCTCTACAGAAATAGAGTTGAAAGCTTAAATAACAGATTCTCTGGTTTTTGAATGAATATTCATAATTAGATTAAGTATACTTTTTAGTTATTCTTTAATATATTTTGATATAGTTAAACTTAGGATAAAACTTAGAATAAAATATAATCGTATGCTTACAAAACTCAATTTCTTAATTAAAAGTCAAAAAAAAAAAAAACTCTTTCTACAAATCTATTGCATAAAAATTAACTAAAAAATTCATTCATCAAAAAACGCTTATAACTATTTATTTTACTAAGACAACCTAACTTAGGCTTTTAAGTAAACCTGTTCAGCTCACTATTTTACATCTAGTTTTCAAATATTAAGTTTTTATACTTCAAACTCATCAAGAAAACTGTACTGATGGCCTTTGGCCTCCAGTTAATAACTTTTAACTATCTTACAGTTTCTACTGCTTTAATCTATTTTATACTCTTAAATAAAGTTGTAGTATACTTTTACCTAATCAAAACAAGCTCTAAACAAAGATTTTTGACCTAATATTGATTAAACTACAACTAAATTCAATATTTATTCTCTTATAAAACTTTTTTTTACTTTTTGTCTTTATTCTGTTCTCTTTTTCTCTTACATAGTTTTTATATAATCATACTATCACTTCCTAATCCATACCTTATTAATTTACATCAATATTTTGTAACCAATCTATTAATAGAAACTCATTCATACAATCAATATTTCTATATTTAGTTCTTATTAATATTATATAGTAATTTGTACTGCAAATCCTACTTGTGTTCAGTATCTGAGTTATATTAGTGACCTTATTCATCTCTATTACACTTTTGTGTTATTTCAGTAACATCCTTAAACTATAACCCTTACATTTAGTTACAATGCTTGTAAAATTAATTTTTATAACTATACTTTCTATTTGGAAAAGTGAAATTCTATTTTGACTTAGATTATTTTAACCCATTATATGATCATATGACCAATGTGGCTTAAAATGGGCTCTGATACATTTAAATCTATCTGTCATATGATTTGACACTTTGCTGCCAGCCAATCAAATAGCGACATTAGTTAGGTTCAAGTGAGCCTAAATTAGGATCAACTTAATTCCAATTTAGGTTCAAGTAGACCAAAATTGATTTAAGTTAAACCTGATTTAGGTTAGAATTTAGCTAAAGTTATACTTAATTTAGGTTTAAATAAACCTGAATTGGTTCAATTTGAATCAAATTCAAGTTCAAATACAGTAATTATTATTCAGATAATTACTATGTATGCAAATTTATTGCTTATAATATATTTATAAGATCTAACTTGGATGGAATTTATGTGGTTCATATGAACATATAAGTTCAAAAATAATACATACAACATGCGTATATCCATATATGTAAGCAAGTTTTAAACTTGTATCAATAAAATACAATGTTATAAGAAAAACAAACCAAGAAAGGCTAATTTGAATATTAAAAACAGCAATTCACTAATATTATACTTATGTTATTTGAAAAACTGATCTGGAAATAAGCATTTTGATATTCATATAATAAGTTTCAGATATTCTATAAAAAAGCAAACTTAGACAGCTTAATATAAATATACACGATTATAAAAAACTTATGTTATAACTAGTTAAAAAGGATTAATACGTACTATAACTAGTTACTACATGTTTTACTGATATTGTTAGTTATACTGAAAAGATACAAGCATATTAAAATTACCTATATAGTAAATAATATAACTATAATAACTTATACATATATACAGTATATACGTATATATTGTTTTTTCAAGGCTTACATATCGTTATTACTAAAAATGAAAGGTTAAAATATATTATGATATTAACTTTATATAACAAAGTACAGTATTGTAATATTATTTACCTTCTCCGAACAACTTCTAAAATTATGCCCTGTATTATTACAAATACTACACACATATTTTTTTTAGTAACATGTTCAGAACCTGTCTTTTTGTACTTAGTACCACTTGGTCTTCCTTTGGTCTTTGCAATAACTGGATCCCTGATATCTTCTTGTAACAATGGGTATTTACTATTCAATTGTTCTACAAAAAGAGCTAGTGTTTTATTAATCTCAACATGACCTACTCAATTTGAAATAGTTTCAATATCTTTAAGTAAATCTGAAGTACTTCTAGTAGACACTCATTAATTAGTTGATATATCATGAATACTATGATTAGACTCATTTATAGATTCATTATTATTTTTGGAATTGCTATTGATGTCATTATTATTAAGATTGTTATTAGCATTGTTAGCATTGTTATTATTAAGATTAACATCATTATTATTAAGATCATCATTATTATTGAGATTATAACTAATATCATTTTGTTTTTCAGTCATAGTAAGTTCTGAAAAAAAGATAACCCAATGAGTACCAATGTAATTAAGACTTAGTATTTCCTTGTTAGCAATATGAACAGCAAGAACATGACGATATGGTAAGGCAAATTGAACATTGTAATTACAAGAACAAATATATCTATTATCAATTTGATATATTGTATATTTATGAATTTCATTATGTTATATGTGTAACAAGTTCGCTTCTTGTCTTTTAATATCATAAGTAAGAGCCATATTATGTTGCTCTAACAATAAAGTGTACACAAAATCTGATACTGCTAATGAAACATCTTTTAATAATTCAGGTTCTTGTTAATAAATACTATTATGTAAACAATACTGTTGATATTGATAGCATTGAAGCTAGTAACAAGAAAGCATTTCTATAGCATTAATTAATTCTGGTAGAGGTGCAGTATAACCAAGTAAACATTTTAAGTATGCATTAGTAGCTTCTGACTGCTGTGTTGTCCTTACTTCATAGTTAACATTTTTGTTAGTATAACAACAGACTCACATTCTTTTAAGAGGTTTCTACTGCTCTGTTATGTAAGTACTAGCCTCAGTATATTCAATAATTAAGTGATCCCACTGAGTATTAAATTGATCCACCATAGGTTCTAGCATTACTGCTTTGAAATCTTTGCTAAATGCTATAAACTTATCTTTGAACTTGTTATTTAAGTTTTTAACAATATTTTGCTCAACATGCCAAATACAAAGCTGATGTTTAACATGTAACAACTCTGTTCGAACTGCAGAGATAAGTGCAAGATTCCCATTATTTACAAGAGTCTGTATGCTGTTAATAATTATGTTACCAACCAGTTGCTTTAATTAACGAAACACCCAACAAAAATTTGATGTAGTTTTATTAGCAAGAAGACAGCTTGCAGTAAGAAATGTCATGCCTATTGCATCGACACCAGTAATGAGTAGAAGTGGCATTCTAAATTAATATATTAAAGAAATTTTTTTTTTAAAAAAATTAAAAAATTAAAAAAAGATAAAATAAATTAAAAAAAATAAAAAATAAAAATATAATACAACCCAAACTGATTGGTTTTATATGTAGAATCTATTAATATAATTTCAGAATAACTTTTGAAGATAGAAATTGCAGAACAGATAGAAAAAAATAGACAATAAAGCTTTTTATTATTTACTAAATAAGTAACCAAATATTCATTATTACTATTCAAATGATTTAGCAATTCTGTAGTTTGTAACAAATCCTTTACATAATCTCGAGACTGATGATTTAAAGAATTATACATATCTTTACTATAAATGTATCTGCTATACTGTTCAGTTAGCATGTTAATAATTGTTGGTATTGGCACTCCTCTATTGTAGAGCATTTGTATATGCATATTTTCATTATAACTTAGCTTCTGATAGCCAGAATCAAACATAACTGCAGCAAAGTCTAAAGGATGGTTATGTTCAAGGTTAACCTGTGTTACATGATATTCATGTTTTTTCCAGCGAACTAGTATCTTAAATAGGCAATTAATAAAGATACTTTTTGTTTTTCTTAGCCCAGTACTTGTATTGCTTGCAGTACTGGCATGATGACAGATAATATTTGCTTTGAGAATAAAACCCATATTTCTTTTCATTCTGTGAAGTCTTGTGGCAAATTCTTAACTTATTGTATAAGAATTAATATGCTGTTGAACATTGTTCCAATTAGTAAAAGTTTGTCTAACAAGTATTGTAGCTGAATTATTACTAGTTAAAAATGTTTGTCTTTTAGATAAAGTTATAGATAGTTTATTGTTATTTAAGATATCAAGGAAATTTTCATTATCACTAGTATTAATATCGATATCAAGATTTGTTTCAACATTAATATCAAGGTCAGTATTTTCAAATGATTGTTCAATTATATTAATATCAAAATTTGTATTTTTAAATAATTGTTCAATATCCATTTTGTAGCATGAAAGCATGAAAAAAGAATCAAGTTTTGTAAAGTAGAAAGGTGAAAAAAATACATAATATATCAATGAGCTAGTAATTTATATTGATCAATTGTTGATAACAGATTATGATGTAATAAAGGCTAATTATTAACTTTGAGTATCAATAACTTTGAGTATTAATAACTTTGAGTTTTATTAACTTTGCGCAATATTAACTCTGCGCATTATTAAATTTGTACATTATTCTATTTGCAAGTACTAAAGTTTTTATACTTTTGTATATCACATAATCATGACAATTTTTGCCAAGAAATAATATTGAATCTGATATTAATTTATAATAAAGAAATAAATGTAGTAATATATTTTCCAAATAACCTTGGATTTGATTTAATTTGGGTTCGTTTAGATCTAAATTGAGTATAACTTTAGCTAAATTCTAATCTAAATCGGGTTCAACTTAAACCAATTTTGGTTCACTTAAACCTAAATTGGAATTAAGTTGATCCTAATTTAGGTTCACTTGAACCTAACTAATGCCACTATTTGATTGGCTGGCAGCAAAGTGTTGAATTATATGACAGATAGATTTAAATGCATCAGAGCCTATTTCAAATTACATCAGTCATGTGATCACATGATAGGTTAAAATAACCTAGGTCAAAATAGAATTTCTCTTTAGAAAATATATCTAAGTCTAAAAAATCTTTATCTAACTTATTACTATTTAACAATATCTACCTTAAGTTAACAAGAGTCTGATATAGCAGACCTTGATTATTTTTACTAAAACTTTTCCAACAGTTTTGGAATTGCTCTCTATAAAGAAGATAACAACAACAAGACCTGCCCAATTACTTCCAAAGTCCAACCCACTTCTTGCTTAACAAAAAATCTTAGATCTAATAAGATTACACGTTTCTTTAAAGCTCTTACTTCTATTTCTGTAATTACTTGACTTTGTGACAAATATCATACCAATTCATCTTAATCTTAAATACTAATTATACTCAAACTACTAAATTTACAACTACTTATATCAATAACAACTCTAAAAAAATTAACAAAACAACTCAAGAACTTATGACTAACCTCTTTTCTTCTATTGATAGTGTTCCTCCATCTCCTATATCTGATGTACATTACCATACTTGTCCTAAATGCTCTCTTCCAATTGGTTGTATAAAAAGAAATGAGCACCACTATCCTACTAAAAAATATATTTACAAAAATAATAAAATCTATTATCTTACTTGTATGGCTGCCTCATCTCAATATGAAGCTAGTTCATCCAAAACTAAGAAAAACCTTATTCAAATCTTTCAAAATATCTTTCATGAATTCTCTCAACTACCAACCTTCTTACAATATCTTCTCACCAGACTTCAACTTCTTCTGATTTTATTGATTCTTTTTTTTCTACAACTACTAATACTAATCCTACTACTAACTAACCTTCTACTACTAATACTCTTGATACCTCTAAGCTTAATCTCAACAAGACCAGTAACATTAACCAATCTGAAAATACTCCTAACAAGCCTTCTTCTCAATCATACTCTAGTGTTCTCAAACCAAAATCTAACTTTACATATGACTGAATTGCAAATTTTCTGATTATTGAAGAAATGCAATCTAATAAAAAGCTGCAAATCTTATTTTCTCTTTAACTCTTCATCTTCTTTAAAAAATTCCTCTATGATTTCTATCCTGACAAGAAAATTAAGCCAGCTATTACTACATAACCAGTACTTAAAGCATTATTCTATTATATTATCCAAATCATGACTGAACAATGTCCTGAATTCTTAACTGATCTCATCTATAATAGCAATTCTAATATTAACAAAAGTGCTACTATTCCTTTTGATCTTCTTGAATCTACTCTCAAAAATTTATTTCTTAAATTCACAACTATCCTTTTCACAAAACTTAACTGTCTTAAAATCTTTGTCTCATTAGTTACTATCTCTCCATATACTGCTTATAACTGCCTTCAACTCTGCCTCAATCTTGCATGACTTTATCTCTTTTTATCCAATAACTACTAATTAATCGATTATCAAAAATTCACTAAAGACTTAAAGCTTAGACCTAAAAGATTCAAAATTGAATCTTTTACTTAAACTACTGATCTTGACCAAAAATACCTTACTATTCAATCAGATGCTCAATTCAATATCAAGCTTTTTTTTAATATTCCTAAAACTTTATTTCTTAAAAGATTTTGCATTCTATCTCTCAAAAACTCTCTTGACCATTTCAATTTCTGGTTTGAAACCTATTATCCTCCCTATAGTAAACAATTTTCTTTCAATATTGACAAAGAAAAAGTTTATACTTTCCTTAGAATTCAATTCTGTTAACATTTTATTTTTTAACTCTCTAAACACCTTTCTGAAACTTACACCTTTAAAAAACCTAATTCACTTTATAAGTAATATGAAAAAGGATCTCATGTTGCTAACTTTTATTGTCTTACTTGTAACAACAAAGAATGTCAATACCTTGATAATAAAAAATTTCACAATAGTATCAAACTTTTTAATAACATCTTAATCAAATCACACTCATTATTCCCATCTCAGGATAATGAAATATGGATTTACCCAACTCTTAATGCCACCTTATTTCATAAAAACAAAGAACATGCTGTCTCACTTGATCAACTTATTCCTACCAAAGCTCTGGACAAACTAGCTAATCAAGCTAAAAACTTTGTTTGTGAACAAAATAAAGTTAAAACCAATTCCAAACATTATAATTATTACTTTTATTGCTATCTCTTACTCTACTACCAAACTGCTGCTAAAAATCACAATATACAGTCTATGTTCAAGGAAAAGACTATAAACTTCTTAACAAAAAATATCATTGATATCAAATTTCTTGCTCAAATTATTACATATTTTGACATTGTAAAAAACCAAAAGCCAACTTATTTACAAATTGTTAAATATTTTAATGATACTGCTTATTCAGCAGCTGAAAAATTTTTAACAAAAAAATTTAATCTCAACTTCCAACCAGTTTCCATTCTTAACTCTCTCTTTTTATAGTCTCCTTTTTAAGTTTCTTGTCTTTTACAACCAAGATTGAAGCAGCCACTACCTTATTAAAAGATACAATCAGTGTAGTTAATAAAAAGAATAAAATAAGTAGACAGATGAACAAGTCTATTTATGTAGAAGGCCAGAATAATAACAGTCAGACCCAATATATAGAGCAGACTATGATACCTTGCACAGCTGTGAGAGCCGAGCATATGGTGATCGACTCTGTAGAAGACAATTTTAAAAGATCATTTACAACATCTTTAATTCCTTATAATCTTTATATATGCTTTAACAAATTTCTTCTTTATTATTATTTACCACTTCTCACTCATAGTCAAACTATCCAAACTCTAATTCAACATATTGACAAATATAATAACAACAAAACTGTATTTATTATTACATTTTCTGTTAATTTATCTTATAATGAAACTCACATATATCTTCCTAATGACACTCTTTTACCAGATCATACTGTTATCGTCTTATATCTTCTTCCTATATTCTATAATCTTCTTCTCAGATCTAATTTCTTTAATCCTATTTTTATCTCATCTGATTTATTTTTTGATAACTATTCTTCAACCCTTAATTGTAATTCCTTCTTACCTTTATCTAACCCAACTCCGCATTATCTCAATTTAACTATTGCTACATATAATGTTAAAGACTTCAATGAACCTATTAAAAGAGAGGCATAGCAAGATTACTGCCTTAACCACAACATATCAATTATAAGCATTACAGAAACTAAAATCTCTGACAAAACTAACCTCTTCTTTTGTAATAATAATTTTTTTACCTATTATTAGTCTAACTCTCTTATTTCTATTGAAGGCACTGCCATTATGATCTGCAACAATCTTAAACCTCACATCCATAGCATTTATACTTATCTTGGAGATGCTATAGCACTTGATATTTTCTTCTGAACTAATATCAAGCTTTACATTATCTCAGTTTATCTGTCATCAACTGATATTATTACTCATAATTAAACTCAAAATACTGTTATTAACTGAATCCAACAAGCCTTTCAACTTCACATTCACCTTATTATTCTTGGTGATTTTAACACATATAACAATACATATAGCTCCTCATCTAAATATAAACTTATTAATTTTCTTAATAATACCAATATGTATAATATTGGAACCCACCTTAACAACAAACATTCTACCTAGTCTAACAATACTAGCAGTAGTCATATTGACTATATTTGGACTGACCAA